TTTTTCACACAGAGGGTGGTGAGGCACTGGAACAGGTTGCCCAAGGAGGCTGTGGATGCCCCATCCCTGCAGGCATTCAAGGCCAGGCTGGATGTGGCTCTGGGCAGCCTGGGCTGCTGGTTGGTGACCTGCACACAGCAGGGGGTTGGAACTGGATGAGCATTGTGGTCCTTTGCAACCCAGGCCGTTCTGTGATTCTGTGATAAGTGAGAAATTCAGAACAGGAAAACACAAACTGAGCACCACGAAGAAAATCTCCCAACCTTGATTCTCACTTTTTGCATTTAAATGCATGACTAAGAACACGGCCAGCTATTAGCTCCAGAAACTACTCAATTCACAAACCTAAATACCACCTTAGAGAAACTGTCATTTCATAGATCACTTACTTTCAATGCTCACAGCTTTTTAGCACTTATTCCAATAGTTTATGAATAATTTCTAACAACAAATCCATCTGAGAACTTTGCAATTTGTCATCAAACAAAGGAAGAGGCCAAATTTCTCAGATAAATTAGTTTTAATGAATTATTCACTGTATGAATTATTTGCTGTACAGGGAAGCAGAGAACAATTCTACCTTGACAGACAGAAGTAGAATAATGATCTAACAGATATTTTCCCATTGTTTGTTTCTACAAGATAAAAGGATAGAAACCTCCACGTGCATCATCCTTCTCTACCTTTAACGCCAATAGGACCTAAAGCAGATCAACATACAATAAAATAGCTGCTGACACAACACTCCATCGTGTATTTTTACTGCTTCTAGTGCAAAAACAACAAAAGGAATCCTTATAAATTTAAAGGCCAATTGCAACAAAACGTCTCTGAAGTCTATTTTAAAGTGCTTGTCAGGGACTGGTTTGCCTTCAGAGCATTCCTCCTAGCAGCTCTACCCCAGAGCCCATTCTAAGCCGATCAATCACTCTGTACCTTCATCTTCACCGCTTCCTCTTAAGCAATAGCTGGAAATGGCCCCATCTGCTCTAAAAAAAAAAAATCAAAGAGCAGCAGCTGGCAATCAGTCCTCACTCCCAGCCTGTGAGACTTAGGGATATTGTCCTGAGCAACTCAGTCAAAATTAATTATAACTTAGCAGGAATTAATTACAGGCTATCTTTATTTCATCTCTATTGTTGCGCAGACAATTGTTTAGCTATTCCTCACATGACTTGGTAATTACAGTAAGATGAAACCGTTTGAGATGTCCTGATGTCCTGTGATTCAGGCTTACTAAAGTTGTGGAGGTGGGGGAAAAATACCCATTGTTAAATCTAGAGCAGAGCTACACATGCAAAAACATCTGTCAGTTTCTGTTATCACTCTCTTGTAGCATCAGAAAAGTTGCTTCACAACAATGTGTTTCAGTGAACTCACATGAGAAAACACACAGAAGCTTGCACAGCTGGAAGAACACAGGTCTTAAATCAAAGAAACCTCCTGAAATGGAGGAATCAGTATTTGCACCTTGTGCCATGGGATTTCTTCCAGGCACTTTAATCCCACTCCAGATCAAGGGGCTCTAACCAGCACCTCCACAGCATCCTATGAGGGCAGGCCTGTGCCTAAAAGCAACACAGATGCTTCCCAGACTGGTGGACTGCGGGGACAGCTAAAAGGAAAGAGTCTTATCAGGACTGAAAAGCAATGGTGGAGTTCTGTATCTGATTAGTAACCAGCACTCTTTCTACTGGCTTCTTTTTTATCCTATTCTACTGATAAGATTCTCATATGTAATAATACAGAAAACATCTGAGAACAGCTACAAACCAAAAATTGTAATTTGGTAAAGAGAAAACCCACCCATGTAGTTGTCATCTGTTGTAGTGACTTTTCTCTATAAACACAGAAAAGCTGAATTCAGCTAAAATAAGAATCTCTTCCCTTTGGCTTTGTGGTAGGCTAAACAGAAGATGACACTCCCAATAGACACAACTGCTTCACACTTCCAGGGGTAATAAATGAAATATCCACTGTTGTAACTGGCAAATGCAGGCTTGGCACTCCTGGGAATTAAGCAAAGCTGAGACTATAGCACAAAAGTGAAGGTAAAGCTGAATGCTTAATTTACGTGGTGCTGCTACTAGGAAGATCCAGAGGCCCTAAGTCACAAAGAGACTATTTTTAGAGAATGAATTCCTACGAAATTACCATGACTTTCAGATGTATAATACATGAGGGGCAGGAAGGTCTGGGCTCAATCTGGCTTTTCTTCCAGCGAGAGCTTCCTGACAGAGCTTTTACATCACCAGTCAGATGGCAACCTCAAGTGAAGGAAGGAAACAGCAAGGAGAACTGGTTCTTCTAGGGAGCGCCAGACTTCTCACTTAAACACAGGAGCTACATGCTTGGAAATCAGAAACCAGCTTGTTTTCTGGACATGTTACCAGAGCAGAGCCGTGCCAGGGGAAGCCTACCAAAGCATTCCAAGTTAAACTCAATTCTCTGCACCAATGCAGCTCTCTCTGCTGCTACACCGCTGATTTTCCCATGCCATCAATTATGTTATGTTCAGCAGAACTGGAAAAACTTGAATAATTAAAAACAAAATCCAAACATATGTGTTTTTTAACACGTATGTGTTTCTTATCTTCCCAATATGTAACTGGTTTAATGACTAGCAATTTCGTCTAAATTCAAGCTGGCCACAAAACGTTCTCCATAAATTAGCAAAAACTTATTTAAATGTGCATCCAGAATCCTCAGTACTTCACACACTGCTGTTCAAAGGTACATTTCTCATTTTAATCTAAATGGCCTGGGACATTTACAGTTCCTGCTGCATGAGAAGGGTATTTAAATACTATGTGTCCCAACCAGCCACATGATAAAAAATGTTTTCTGTGTTTAATTAGAAAATAGATGAGATCAATTTATTTAAAATGGTACTCAAAGTAAGCAATTAAGTGCCTCACTAAATAGGAGCATGTGCTGTAGATCTGCCCTTTCATTACAGGCGCAGTTTCTAGCTTTCTAGTACCAGACAGGAGCTTGTAGGCATTGCTTTAATAAAAATATGCTATTTCAGAATTTTGTGATGTATTTCTGCTGCCTCTGGGGGACTTAAGCTAATACAGCCTATTATCTGGCCTTATAACATAGAACTAAGTGTGCAATTAATTGCCAATCTGTAGTGGATTATGGGAACGTTCCAGATGGATGGGGATTTATCACAGTATTTTTCACCAGCAGCTACTGCCATTTCCTACATCTCAGACACTGCACCTTACAGGAATACATTTCTTTCTCAGGTTCATCTTTTGTGCAAGAATTTCCATTTCCTTTTGACATCAGAGACAACAACTCAAGATGTACCACAAAGCACCAGCGAGATAACACAATATTGCTACAGCACACGTTTCTTTGTGATCAGACACACAATAGGACGTGTGGGCTGAACGCTCCCTCAAGAAATGAAAATGCAATCAATTGACTCAGTTAATATTTTGCTCTGTGGGAAAAACTCCATCAGACAATCTGGAATTTCATTAATCTGTGGCACTGCATGAGCTGCTGCAGCCTAAGAAAAGGAAGGCAGCTTTGTGCTTTATTCCCCCTGTGCCAACACTCCTTAGCAATTCAGGAGCAGGGGATGATGTTAATGTCTGCAGCATTCCCCTCCAGTGCTGCTGAGGTTAGATTAAAGCTGGGCTGACATACCTGGAGCTGCATTACAGGTGGCTGTGCTCCGACGGGAGGGAAGCTCTCCTGGATGCTGAACCCAGCCAACAGCCCTTGGCAGCACATGGCCAACTGGAGCAGGGGTATTTGGCACACTGCTCTCTCAGGAACTGTTCTGTAAGACATTCAAATACAATGTTTTTGTTCACAAACAAGTTTACATGGATCTCTTTCTACTGTAGGGGTAAGTATTGTTGTTCCTCAGACCACCTAGGTTGGAGTGAATAACAGATCACTTTCAAATAGCACGTGTCATATACCTGCTATATTCTCAACCTGCTATGTTCTCAAGACTTCCATCTTCTCCACTCACTATAAGTACACCAAGCAGGCTACTAGAACACAAAGACAAGAGTTGCATTCTTGCTGTTGGCCTAGGTATACAGTTCCCTAACAATGAATAGCTTTCTGCTTTTTCCGCACACTCAGCAAGTATCAGAATTCTTGTAAAAGCTTATAAATGCATATTTGGACAGACCACAGCTTAGCTCAGTAACCTAATACTCATGTGAACTGCATGCTGTGCTTTAACAATTTTCAGTTTAATGCAATTTAAGATGTGCATCTGACTGAAAAGTAAAACATCTCATTCTCACAGCTACACCTCAACCTTCTGCTGACTTCCCTCCCTTCAGAGCTTGCCACTCATTTAGTTTCAGATGGAGAGCCATGTCCCCCTCCCCACCCCCTCCTTAAGCTTCCATCAACAGACCCACATGTACTCACTGATCTCCAAATTGCTTTTGCCATGTGTTAGCATTAATAATTAATGAAACCAGCTGATGGTTCCAAGTGACCTATTCTCCTGTGAGGGCAGAGATGAGCCAGAGAGAAGAGAGGATTCATTTCTGAACCTCCAATTTCAGTATTGAAGTTCAAAAGCAATACACCATCAGCAACATAAATCTATTCATCTCAAGAGATCAGTTTGTTCTGAGAGGTGGCCAGAACTGCCCCTCAGCCTAAAAAGCAGATATTGCCACGCTCAGGGCTTCTTACACATAAAATATCACACTTTCCTTCAGTGTGTGACATTTCTCAGGACTTTCTTGACATTTAAGTACCATTCAGGCATTTAATAATAATCAGGAAGAGAAACAGAATGGGAAAGAGAAACAGAATGAAAGATTAAAGGAAATGAATATGTATAGGGCGTAAAAAAGAATGAGATGCTGGTACACAATGGGAAACCACAGAGCCACAGAGCAGAGTGGGAGGGCTTGTGTTCATTAAGTGTTGATACAATGGATTTAAACAAAATTGAATAAAATCCAATTTAAATGCTAGAATAAAAAGCCTTGAATGATCAGCTAGGGAATAGCATGGCTTTCTGCCTCTCAGAGGTCAGATCACTGGCTGACCAACAACAGCTGCAGATGGTCTGACAGCAGACGCCTGCAGGAATTAAAAAATTACAGGGTTAGAGCAAATCTGCTGCTTCTTTTCACCCCTTTCTTTGCTTCCATTCCTCTTTTTCTAGCAAAAGAATTGCTCTGTAGTACACTCACAAAAACACACCTATCACAGCTGTGATGCCAGAGCTGCTATCTTATCAATTTTTGTCGTGTTTCAGATTCTGTTTGCTTCTATATATGTGAGCCTAAGAGAGTTGTATGCAATTGTAAACGAATAATTGATTCTTGAGCAATCAGACAGCAAATTCTTCCACTCAGAAAAAGCAAATAAAAAAAAAATACACTACAGCTCATAATTTTCTTCCAAGTCATGAGAAAAGCTTTCCCAGAGATAGCACTGCAGAGCTTGTTAGCAGCCTCCTGTTAATGTAGACTCTGTGCTTAAAGATTATTTAGGGAGGACTAGCTCGTGTTACATTTATTTCCTCTAAACTCACCCTGGGCTACGTGAAGAGCAGAATCAGTGACCATCTGGGGGAAGCTTCATGCACTGCCACAAACAAAATCCAGAGATTGAACAATTTCTATGCAGCCACCCCATGTCACGTGCAGCTGTACCACAAGAAACAAAGACAAACCCAAACATGCAACAGTCGTGTCTTCTGTAAATAAAGAATTACATGCCCGGGGATGTGAAAAGCATGGAAGTGCCCCATGTGTGATAAGCAAATCAGAGAAGGAAAAGTTGGTGTTTGGAAAGATAAATTGTGTATTTTTTTGCTTTTTTTTTCAGTTGTGTCTGCTTTCTGTGTCCTTACTTTAGTCAAAGCAAAAATGACTTGTTCCCCATTCTCCAAGTCAGCCTTTACAGCCTGCAAGAGCTTTCTTAGGAGTCATCCAAGTGCCACACAATCAGTACATTTTTCAGCAAATTACTCACTTTTTTAATCCCCTGTGCGTAGGGCACAGAAAACACGTGCGTTTATATTGCTTCTGGTTGGCTGTGCAGCTAGAAATTGTACTGCTGTGACTTCATCCTCACCAAGGGACTTGCTGTTACAGCAGGCTGATCATCATGTTTTAGTCATGACAAAAGGGAAAACCTGTGCGTGGCTACTTAAGGCAATCACTCAACCACTTTTAGTGTTGTGGCATGATATTGATTTGCTATTAACAGCGCTTGGCTTTCAATAATGCTTATGGCACTCTCATCCTACCACGAGGCACACAAAGCATTTCATAGTCAGGCCCTAAGAGTGCTTTATTTAGGATGGTGTGCTTATTTTAGGATTCAAAGATTAGCCTCTAACAGATAGATCTCTTTAGGACAGTACAGATGAAGCGTGCTTACCAGAGGTATTCCTGCATTCTGTCTTCATGGAGAACAGTTAACCTACATTTTGATTTTCCTCTCAGAAAGATGGGTTGGAAACTCCAGCTGTCAGATTGAACACTTGGAGCATCCCTGCACTAGTTAAAGGAACAGCTTGGTGGTCTCTCATGCTGCTCCCAGCTTAATCTGATATTGTTATGCCATAATACAATGATGCTTTTCTATACTGATTCACAGCATCTTTCATTCTCCAACACCAGCATACATTAGGAACTATATTGTAAGCAAAAGACAAACATTTCATCTGCACACTTGGAGGTGTCTACCACCCACTGCCCAGAGCTGGAGGTATCCGTGTGCTTCTTCTTCGTAGATTTGCCTTCAAAACCCCCATTTTGCTTGCCCATCACATTGTTACTGGAAAGGGACAGCAACTCTTTCCCACCCAAGATGAAGGAAGGGAAAGAAATAGCCTCAAAAATCAGCCTTGTTGTCATGGAAACCAGAACAAGGATTTGGGAGGCCAAACTGGATGCATTTATAAATCAGAGATGAAAAAAATCCCACACATTTATAACAATACCTTCAGTGGGAAATGTCTTTAATCACAGCAAGTCAGGCCAACAACAAACTCAACAAAAGCTACAGCGTAAAGAAGTGAGTAATTACTTTCTCTAAATGAACACAATGGCTTTAGAACCAGTGGTACCCATGTTTGACAGAGAGGCAGAGACAGCAGTAGCCATAGAAGCAGTTTACTCTTCCTGGGTGGCATAAGGTGTTTGTAACTCGGTTCTGGTGATGCCCTCACAATTGCCAGCCAGGTGGCTGCGGTGGCCATCCATGAGCTGCTCCCAAACACATCCAGTGGCTCACCTTCTTCCCTACCCCCATCCTCCTGAATCTCCTCTTGCCCACGTCAGATGCCAGCATCTCTGGCAAAACTTGTTGGTTTGTGCTCTGATCTGTGACAGACCTCTTGTTAAGTGTTGGGAATCACTGCTTTAAACTGCAACTTGAGCCCCGTCAGGGGACACACACACTGCCAGCCAGTTCCAGCAGGCAGGTGACTTACACAGCAGCCTTCAAAGCTATCACAGCTCTCTGTTATGATTTTGATCTCTTGATATGGTACCTTACTCAGTATAAGTGCACGTTATGCTCTCGAGTGTGTAATGCATAATAGGGCCCAAGCTGTGAAAAGCCAATCTGATCTTCAAGACTGCTCACTGTACTGTGGAGAATGGCAGGATTTATGGTTTAAGTCCATTTGTTGTTAATGACAGTTTCACCCTAATAGAGCAGAGCAGTACAACTGGAAAACGGAATGTAGAAACAGCTGGTAAGTTCTGGAAAGCATCTGTGAGAGACAGATCAGCCACACTCATTTCGTGGGATTACTGGACTAACCACACAGGGAATAAAGACAGAAGATGAAGCAACTTATTGCCCTACATCCCTCCCTGTGGCACTGGTAGCCGGGACAGCTGGACTACACAGGAAACTGATCCAGCAAGAACTGCCTTGGCAAGGATTGCAGCGGGCAACAATCATCCATACGATCAATGGTATTTCTTTGCTCAGGGCAAAGTAAGCCAAGGACTTGGAACTGCCAGCCACACTCACATAACCTGGACAGAAATATGGAAAGCAATCAAAAAATTCCTCCACATCAAAAAGTGAACTATACTGCACAAGAAGAAAAATAATCGGTTAAATTCAGCCCATCTGGTAGGGATGAAGCTAGTGACGTGGGAAAAGAAGCGACATGTAACAAAGCAGTGAAATACTAGCTGCACAAACACCCTAAAACTGCAAGTTTATTAGATTAGTTCATAGCTTTCAAAATCACACGAGCCCTGATCATGTCTGCATCACTTCTTTTCAAAACCTCAGAGTTCACCATGCAGCAGATGACAAAACACTGGTTTCTGGTTGCACGGTGGGTGTAAATACTGCACAGTGCCAAGAAACACAGCTGTCCTGCTGAAAAGACTTCCTTCACCAGTAACTACAAAACTAAGATGTTTGTAAGGATTTTTCTCCCACTGCTTGGAGAAAAAGAGTCTGTGTGTCTTAACAGAGGTGAACAAGGGTGAGAATGAGTTCAGGAATGTTACAGAGATTTTCCCAGCTCCTACTCAAACACTTGTTTCCCAAATACAATGCTCTACATTTGTTTGATTTCTTCACTTCATTTCCACCTTATTGTCCCTGCTGGTGTTAACGTTTCCAGGCTTTTGGTTCAGCAGACCAAACAGTCTGACCACAGGAACACAATGGTGACAGCATGCTGTGAGACCATCCAAACTCATACACAGGTCCAAAAATCTGGGCCACGGTGCTACTACTATGAAAAACATTGCCCACATTCCAAATGCAACAGATGACATGCAGACTGTGCTCCGAGGAGCTGAGACCCGAGAT